TCCGCCCCCCACCCCAAAAACGATGGGCCAATAACTAAACATTTCCCTAACACTATAATATAAAGAAAATTAATAGTAACATTATGTGTACGGTGACCATATTTTTTTCATTAAAATACAGAACACCTCAAAATCAACTACAAAGCTTTGACAAGGATTTAGTTGCTTATACATACATGGGCGGAAACTTCATAAAATTTTGGTTGATCTAAACAGAATTGGGTGGTTCACAAGGTGTCGTACTTGTCGTATTGTTGTATGTTGTAAAGTTTTTAACGGCTAAATAAATGTTTAGAGGACTTGAAATCACCACCAACTATTTTTTAATTGTGTGAAATTTCATAATAAAACTTTTATGTTAACTTGCGAATTCCTTAAATATAGTTTTAGCCGTTTAAAGTTTATGACATACAACAGTACGACAGTATACAACACCTTGTGAACGCCCTAAATCAAATACCCACAAGTGACCTTGTGATATTATTTTTATAATCAGCATATAATTTAAGTTGATTGTAAAAAAATTTAACCAAATTTCCAAATATAACATATTTATTGAAAGTATTGTTACAAATAAATAAATATATATACATGTAACTATATGTACATAAACATAACCATTTCTAATTCATACGAGCTTAGATTTTTTTTTTTGCAGTTAGAAAAAAATACTAGAATCATTTCATTACCTTCTGTATTTTTCAGAAGAATGAATTTTTTGTAATAAAGCATCGTTTGCTTTTAGGTAGTCTTTAAACTCTAGACAACTGAGATCATAGTTGCACTTAGTAACTAAAATTGCTTTAATCGTTTCTATTTTAATTTGTGTTTTTTCATTAGTCCAAATGTTGTTTAAAATAGAGAATACTCTTTCAGTAGGGGCGTTTGAACCTGGCAAACATAAAGCGAATCCAACAATTTTTAAAATGTTTTTACAAGGTACATATATCATTTTCATTAAAATGTTTAAAAATGCCCACCCATCTCTCAGCTGCAAACACCTGGTTATCTGACCAATCTGTAATCATGTCCGATGTCACATAGCTTTTGACACACGTGAATTCGTCAAACAGTTCGCCATCATTTATAATTATTTCATTCCTCTTTTCCATAACATATGTACAACTTGCTTCTATTTGGTCCCAAGAAGGCACTGAGCGGAGAAGAACCCACCCTAAAACTTCAACTTCTACGAATGCTTTGTCCCATTGATTCAAATAATTAATACAACTATTATAAAAATTGCCCGCATGTACATTGGTGTTATCTAAATTCAATTCATTTGATTCTCTGATAATTTTCTTAACGACTAAAGGCAAAAACTCCTCATCTTTTCGCTGCGTGATTTTAAACTTCAGATCCTTTATCATCATTGATACTTCTGCCATGCATATCATCTGCGACTCAATTTGTACAATATAATTATGGAAAAGGGTTGCCTGGCAATGTGCAAAAAAAAGCCAGACTTCAGAGCAATGGTCAATGAAAAACTGTTTCAAAATGGTTGGACATTTTTCTTGCGATAAAAAGTATATTTTTAATGGCTTAAAAAGTTTTAAAATTCTTTCTATAGCGGGTTTCAGAGTAAGCCATCTAGTCTTGCTAAATCCCATTAATTTCCTATATTCTATATCAACTGTATCGCAAATTTCTTTTAATTCTTCTACGCGAACTGTGTAAATATAAAAAAAGGAATATATTTTTACGACTATTACTTCGACATCTATTGGAAGACATTCGATGGATGTTTGAATACAATTATTCAAAACGTGAGCAGCACAGTTTATTCCAATAAGCGGCTTTCCAATAGATGCCTGAAGTTTACAGTACCAATTATTTTTGCCTAGTCTTCTGGCGCCCCCAAAATTACAATTCGTATTATCTGCACAAATAGCAAGCAGTTTTTCATTTATGTCAAATTTTTTTAAAAGACCATACATATATTTCGTCAAGATGTCAGACGATTCACCTGGCAGGTCACTGACCTCTAATATTTTTACTTGAATCCCTTTGTGTGGCGCAAAATAGCGGACAAGTATTGGATATAGTTTTGTGCTTCCATGATTTGAACAATCTACGTACACTGTGACGAAGTCTGTTACGCACAAATCGGTTTTCGTTTGCTGAATGGAATTTGGGGCCAGGACGTTACAGATTATAGATTCAGATTTTGTGCGAGCGCAAGAATATTTGTCATCGAAGCAACGTTTTATTAGTTTCGAAGTGCAATCGTTTGAGCGAAAAGAGTGGTTGTGTTTCACCGTATGAAACGCCCATGTGCCTTCGTTGATGCCTACTTTCTTTCCGTTGCTATCAATTACCTCCTTATGAAAAAAATTTGATATTGTTTTGCTGGACGACAGCGCAATATTGGCTTTTTTATGTTTGTTCGTCGCTAAGTGTTGTTGAATGTCGAGTTTGCCGCCATTAGCTATGGAAAATATCGCTTGGCACTTCAAACACTTCACTTCGCTTGTGTTATTGGTTTTAGTTATAAAGCTATATTGGTTTTGCAAGTCCGCGTTGAAAATGCATTTTCGTCGTGGCGGCATTACGCTAAAAACAACGAATTTGACAATTATCTACATATGTGTGTATAAAGTTTAATTCTCATAGTATTTCAAATAAAATTTACCAGGATTCAATCGATCTTTTTCACCGGCTACTTTGATCAACATCCAACGCGAGTTTCTTCGTTTATCCACCTTATTTCGTTAACAGCTGATGTGACAAGTGCTGTGTGCAGTGATGCCAATTTAATAGAAAATAGTTATTTTCCAATGTTAAGTAGCAACCAATTATTTGCTCATCGTTTGAAATTTATTTTCGCACTTCGGTAATATTATAATACAGAACAAATACAGGACATATTTTCAAATACAGAACATTTTTGCTGTTTTTATTAAAAAATAATTCACACAGAACATTATATTGAAATACAGTACTGTTCTGTATAATACAGAATGGATGGCCACCGTAATTATGTGTCACACACATAAGTAATTACAAAATACTTAACGTATGCTAAACTCCTATGTTCTAGCAACGACTTGTATTCGAATTGAGGTGTGAATTACCTATTAGTAGGACCGAGATTACTGCAAATAAAGGCTTCTCATGAAATCCATCTGCCGCTCGTAGGCAGCGTGAAAACATGAAAGCACTTAGAAAATGTGTGAAGCGCTAACAGTTATTTTTATGTGCATATGAATATACAAATATTCTAATAACATTCCCATAAAAACAAAAGGCAAAATTTTTCCACTATCCCCCGTCTAAAACCTTAAATTGCTTCATGTAGGTAAATCACATAAAACTAATATTTCTATTCTCTGAGCACTGCTGCAGCTTTAAATCCTAATCAATATTTTGATAGTTCAATGATTTGCCACTTTTATTTCACTTCTAAACATTTCTATAACTTTTAATAAACTTGCACAAACTCCAAATTGTCTGTTATAAAATGGCGCCAAGCGTATTACATTTCCTCTCAGGAAGATGACAGCAAAATGATTTGCTATCGCAGTTTTGAAGCCACTGCATAGTCTGTACTACAGCGAGAACGCATTTAATTTATCGATTTGTACGCAAGCCGCAAAATCAGTGAAAAATAACAACGTGAAACGGTAGAACTTGCTGCTTATCACTTATCCTTAGCTGACAGCATTTTTTATGTGTAGAAACGAACTACTAACTGATAACTACGTATATTAGTACAAAAATTTATATAACATTTAACTCGCTTTATGCGTCCTCCAGCCTATCGATAACTATCGACTACAAAAAGTCACTTTTCCACCACTGCCACCAAACAGCTGTTTCCTAAAATTTCCTTTTGTTGCAGTGTGTCAGCAATTCATTTAGTTTATATTTTATCGAATTTTTATAAGTTAATAACATCAAAAATGGGCACAAAAATTGTCAACCGCATAATGTTAGTCACGGGGCTTATAAGTTTGTTGCATGCCGCCTTTTTCGCAGCACACCGTAAGTATTTGTGAAAAAAGAGATGGATGCTCCTCAATCGGAAACAAATTTTAATTCATTGAATTCCAGATCGCACTTATATGCGGCTAACTGAAAGGGATTGGACGCAGCTACCAGTGGATGTGAGCGCAGTATATTTTGCTCATTAGAAAATAGTTTATTGCATTTATATTTTTCTTTTCTACATAGATCGTCGTGCAGACCGTTGTCAGCTTACTGGTGGTAGTTTACAATGTAATCCAAGTAGTTGGCAATTTTAAAGAAATTCGGGCAACAGTTGATATGCAAGAGAAGTCGTGGGATACCTTAGGTAATTTACCATCATTTTACACATTCAATCATCGCGGTATGGCGCTATATCAAAACTATGAGCAGGAGGAATCATCCAGTGCAGGAAGCAAAAGTAGTCTAGATGTAGAATATTAGCAAAGCAACTTATACATTTTAAGTATATTATAGTATTTTCGCATACCAACTTTGCAAATGGAATAAATCGGCAATTTTTAAAACAAAAGACCCATGATGGCGTCATATGTAGTTGATAAAAGAGTGGAAAGCATTTAGTGGCCATTTTATGTTGTAGCATTATACAGTTCCGCACTATATGGAATATTGTTTTGCTGTGAAGAGCTTGGTGTCGTAAAGAAATGCTAAAATTATAGTCTATTCTTTAAAAAAAAAAAATCTAAGTTTATTAATCCACTGATTTTATCCAAAAATAACTCGGCCACTGTTCATCACAGATTCCTCAACTGAAAATCGACTTCAAGTCGGGTTTGTTAGACTGGCTTCACACTGAGAAAATTTTTTGCTCATTTTCGGCAACTTCTCTTTTGGTGTTGCCCTTCGCGTTCACACAGAGCAATTCTTTTGTACACAATCGCTGTTATCAGCTGTGAACGGCCAACTACAATTACTCAGACGAACGAGAGCACAAAGCGTGTTGCCCGAGCACGAGCAACTCGGTGCCCTTCCCCCTTCCTCGTCACACGCTCTACCACAAGTAACGAGTTGCCGCGACAAAATTTTCTCAATCTGAACCCAGACTTACAAATATGAATTTAAACACAACTGCGGAAGAAATTTGTATACCTTAGGGTTTACACCGGACAATACTGCCATAACAATAGCAATACATGCACACTTTTTTTACTAATACATGCATACATCTTCAATTGTCTCAATCACTGTCTTGATTATTTTGAAAACTGTAAATCGGACAATGATTTGACATATGCAGATAATAATTTTGACGTCTTGTGCAAGAAAAATGAGAAATTCATAACAAAATAACTATAATAATTAAAGAGACGCTGATGTGTTTGTAATTTTGTCTCTTCTTTATTTTTTAGTTTGTAGCTCAAAACGAATTGTGTTAACTATTGTCAGGACACCTACGCCATGGAGACAATGATCAGCGTTTTTGACAGCTAATACGTATATCTTTATTGCCTTGACGTTTTTATTTTGTCATTCTTTTTAACTTGTGGCAATTTTTTTCAGTCCAGAAACAATCAAGTAAAACGTGGAGGTGTCATCAAGGGTTAAGGCAAACAGCTGACAAGTCCGGCAGCATGTGGAATTTAAAAGCAATTTTCGTCGATACGGTAACCTTTTAAGTCAAATCAGAAAAGGCCAGTTCGACTCAAGAATGATAGAATACAAGACTGCGCCGATTGCAGCATGGTACAATAAAAACAGGTAGAAGCCAAATTGACATCGAACCTACAAAAGTCAAAGTTTTCGGGAGAGTAAAAATAAAAATGAGCGTGTGTAAGGAAAAATAAAAAATTACATTTCGCTGGTTGACGTTTTTGAGTAAATTTGAAGTTTTGTTTCTATTTATTTATTTTTTTAGTTAAAATTTGTTAATTTGTATGTTGTTTTATGTTTTTAACATTGTGGAAGAATACAAGTGAGATATCTTAGGGTTGACAGATAGTTGACAGGGTGTTCAATATGGCGATGACAGTGTGAACAATATGGCAGCCAATATGGCATACAACACCGAATGGCCCGAAGTAGCCAAACTACGACCCGAATGAAACGCTTCGTGAAAATCCAGGGTTGCGAAGTGGTATTTTGTTGGAAAATATAAAAGCCAGGATTTTGTGCAGCGCCGAATTTTAACAAAAGAGGGTTTTGTGTTCTCAAGATGAACAGAAAAGGGTTGCTGTGCTGTTTCGTTTTAAGCTTATTTTAATCTTAAGGTATCTAATTAAATATTAAAAGGAGACAAAAATTAAAGCAAAAATTTAAAATATATGTACATATCTGAAAATTGTAAATAAAATATATATTTCCACGAGAGACAAATAAAATAAAATGGGTTAACTTTAGGGGAAATATACTTATCAGATTGGGTCAGATAGCGCATTTACGTTATAACTAAAAATAATTCCTACTTAAATTTTATATAATTTTGGTAACGTATTTCTAAGCTGACCCTGAGATCTGTGAAATAATACATATTTATGTGCATATATTGTGTTGATTATGCTCTAAATCGCTAAATAATTCTTGCAGCAATCAGCACCATTGGAAAGTGAAGTGACAATAGGCTGGTTTTCTTTATACAGCCCGTTTTAAATTCGTATTATTGTTATAATAAATTACAATTATTGTTTGTTTCCATTTCGGTCAACAGCGCAAATTATTTATTAAAAAAATGTCGTTTAAAAATAGCAATTTTGTTTACTTTTGAATAAGACTTTATCGAGTGCGCTATAAAGACAGGGGGATAAATGCTGTAAAGAAATATATGTTGAGTCCAATCGGTTTTTTGCTAATCCGGTTTTTGTGTAGGTATAAACAAGGTATATTAAAAAAATAAATCTCCATAAAAAAATATCGTTATTTTCGTATTTAAAATTAATCGGAATTTTATGGGGGGTTATAAAAACTCGTTTTAATTGAAACTTTGTTTTTTTCGGCTATATTTGTTGTTATTTATTGGCCCAGATGCAAATATTGAATGAACTAACATATTTTAAATATTTACGGAACTACCATTTGTATACAATCCTGTATTCAAGTAGATGTAATTCGAAAAATTTAAACGGATTTCTTTAAATCCACCTGAGCTGCGGACATATTGCGAATTCATTTTAAAACATTAACCACTACATTTTATTAGTATTAAATACTTTCAATTAAGAAACAATTATTATTAGAAAATAAATATGAATCGGTTTATTTTAAATATTCCAATGTATATTTTTTGTTAATGCAGATAGTGCGGATTTAACGTATTTTATAACCGTTACATGGGGAAAAGAAATTTTAGGCAGATTGTTATTGACAATTTTTACATAATTTACGATTGCAATCAATTTCTTTCAAAACTATAATCTAAATGATTGCAAGTTGTATTTTTTACGATCAAAACAGATTCCAATATTAGGTATATTATGCACATGCAATCCAATTTGATTTGAGTTATTCAGTTTTAGATACATTTATATTTCTGTGTTCGTATGGAATAGTAGTTTATGTCGGGAAGCTGGCTTTAGTATAATCCGGCAATCCGTTTATTATTTACAACACAAGGAATTTTTTGATGACCCTTAACAAGAATATGGACGTGCTAGTATCGGAACTATTTCTTGCACGTTTATTTATCCAAAATTTCTTCAACGGCTCGGCGCCAGTGAGGGTATGCTGCGAATGCCGCATTATACTAAAACCAGCCTTTTGACATAAGCTACTATTCCATATGAGTGGGACACGTGCG